ATACACTTCGATTTTAAAATATATTTTTAAGAAAACAAACGACGTTCAACTAGGCACGTAAACAAGCGTTAAATCACCAAGGAGAAAAAGTGTAAACAAACGCGAGTCAGGCTCGAATGGCGTCACTTTCTTAAAAGTCACGTGACTTCCTTTTTAAACTGAAAACGAAAGTACACGATTTTTAATTGATCTTAATTAAAAAAGTAGCATTTTTTGGGAGGTAAAAAGATGTTTTTCAGGATTTTTCCATCATTCTGAATTCATTAAGAACATAAAAAAAATTGACTGCAATTGTCCATTGTTTTTAAATTAAACTGAATTTAGTAAATATTCAAATAAGCATATAAGAAATGAAATAGAATCTTGAGACATTTCTCAAATATTTAATTAATGAATTGAGGACACATTCAAATAAACATATAAAAAATAAAATAAGTAACATATAATAATGAATAAAATAAATAATTAAAAAAAAAGTAATATCTTAAAAATTTCAACACAAGGACTGCAGGAATGTGAACTTTAATGCTGGATCTCCACCGAAGGCAACGGAAATCTTGTTGCCAAAGTTGCGCACTGGCGCACAAATGCCGTTTCTCCATGTTGCCGTTGCTTCCAGTTCAAGAGTTGGAAACGATTCAACTTTTGTTGCCGTTGCCAATCCTAGTAGCCAATCAGATTCGTTGCTAGTTTTCGCTCCCAAACCTCGTGTTTTGATCTCGCACGTGAAAGAAGCGAAGCTGCAATTAGAATTTTAAAATTTGCTTATGTAAAAGTTAAGAAAAATTTGGTTAAGAATTATTAAAGAAAATGGAAGAACAATTAATTGACTACGTAAGAAATAGCCCATGGCTATATGATTATAGCCGTGCGGATTTTAGAGACGCAGAAAAAAAGATGCAAACTTGGATAAAAATAGCTGAAAAGCTTAGCATAGATGGTGAGTAAAATTTTACTATTACTTATTTTGTTTTAATAATAAATTTTGTATAATATTTTTGAATTTACTTCATTAATCAAATCAATGTTATGTAACCTATTAATGGAAAGTATTTTTAATTGATTTCCAAAGATAATTTAATACTAATAATATTTTTGACTGTCATAACAATAGTTAAGTTACTCTTTATAAATATCTAAATATATAGTATTCTGTAAGGAAGTTTATTTATGATGAATCAAAAAAAAATTGTTCCACTGCTATATTAGGGCCTTAATGGATATTTTTTAAGTCAAATAAACAGTATATCCATTGAAATGGATGTTTTCTGTTATACTTTCATTCATGCACATTCTGCTACAATACATTTTCTCACCTTTTTTTAGAAGAAAAAAAAATCTTGTTGTTTATGAAATTCACTCTTTTAGTTTTATCACTAGTTCTTAAAAATTATTTTTTTGAATAAATTTTTGAGTGAAAAGTTTGTATAGATGTCTTAAAAATGTCATTTGAATACTGTATTTGACATTTTTGTCTTGACAATATATTTTTAATATTTTAAAGCAACTGAAGCCAAACGGAAGTGGAAATGTCTCAGAGCTTCCTTCGTAAGAGAAAAAGAACTGGGGCCTAGTGGCACTGCTGCAAAAAAGAAGGTCGAGTGGATACACATGAAGGCAATGTCATTTTTACATGGCCATGTCAGAGAGAAGCGGGAGTATGAATTTAAATTTTTTTTGAATTTATATATTTATATGCATAAAAAAGGTATCAGAACTATTATTTAACATGACTTTTTTTAACAGGACTTACAGTAATTATGAACAACCGACTTCTTCGATTTCTCAACCAGCTGAAATTCCTAGTAAGCAAAACTAAAAAAAAAAATTTATTACTTATTTCAAAGCCCATTGTTTACTCACAGGATATTAATGTCCAGTTTTTTATTAGCGAAAAAATCCCTATCACAATTTTCATATTTTTCGCAAAGAATGTTTCGAATACACATTCTTTGCGATCCTATATTCTGAAACAATCATCAGAATTGTAAAATTTATTTTTAAATTATGAAAATCATTAGAACACTCTAAAGTGTGAATATTTTTGTTTTAGAAGTTTTTATTTT